ATTTGGGGATTTTTTTTTTGGGGGGTAAAATTAAAGGGGATGATAGATTGAGGGGACTAGGGGTGGGAACGACCCGAGCTCGTCTTTTTTGGCCAGCTCGAGCTCGAGCTGGAGTCCATGTTGCCGAGCTCGAGCTCAAGCTCATCGAGCCAATTTTTTTTGGCTCGAGCTAGAGCTCGAGCCAATTCTGGCGAGCTCGAGGTCGGGCTCATCTATTTTTTTTTTATTTTTTTTTATTATTTAATTTTTTTTTAAATCATCTAATTTTTTATTAAAAATTATTTATAGGAAAATAAAAAAAATTATAAAATAAATAATGAACTCTAGTTTTATATATATATATATATATATATATATATATATATATATTTTCTATTATTATTATTATAATATTTTATATTATTATGAATTATTTAAGTAATATAGATTTGTTTCTATTTAAATACTAGAAATATTTATTATTATAGACTATTTACTATATAGTTAATAATAATAATAATAATAATAATAATAATAATAATAATAATAATAATAATAATAATAATAATAATAATAATAATAATAATAATAATAATAATAATATATAAAATAAAAAATAAAAAAATAAAAAAAAAAAGAAGAAGAAGGCAGCTCGCGAGCTGTCGAACAACTAAATCTGGGCCCGAGCTCGAAAAACCCGAGCTCGAGTTCGAGCCTTTGTCGAGCCGGCTCGTCGAGTTCGCGAGCCGGCTCGACTCGTTTACCACCCCTAGATGGGAAGAGAATAAAGATTAAAAAAAAAAAAAAAATGACCTGCATTTACTAAAAGTCGTCGTGTATGTATCATTTGAGTACTTTTGAAGCCCAAATAAAACTGTTATTTATGTTGAGTTTAGAATTAACCTAAGTAGTGCCGGTGGGCTGTCGTATGACTAAATAAATGTAAAGATTTGATTTAGATTTTATCAATCCTAGAGAAGCATGTCTTCCTCTGTACCTATAAGATCTAACAGTGTTTTTTGTCTGTACTATTTATACCACCATATTTATTGATAATATCACTATACTTTTAAATCAAGATCGTTACACTCTACTTAGTTTAATATTTTTTTTTATCTTTCGTGTGGTTTGCAAGATGTTAGTGCATTCGAGTAGCGAATTTATAAAACAAAACTAGCCGCAAATAAAAAACCGAGACAAGAGTGAGATTTTTCTTTTTAAACCTTAAAATTAAATAATTTTGGCTTATATTTTAATTTTTTTTTTGATATGAAGATTTTGATTAAATTAAACATTAATTAGGTGTTGTTGGATATAATTATTATATATGATTGAAATGAAACATCATAATTAGTGTCAAACATGGCTGTTATATTGATGAACGAATTATATGAGAGGGTCAACTTCATTTCTTAATAATTCACGATGAAGAATATATAAACATAATTATATGAAATTAATTATTTTGAATAATTCATACGTATTACTTTAATTCGCGCAGTTTATACGTGCCAAACAGTAGTGTTTAAAATACAAATTAAAGTACACATAATATTTTACATACATCTATATATATATAAAAACAAAAATATAAAAAACAAAATCAAATAAAAATGACTATAGATAAACCTCTATAAATTGATAGAATCGGAACTAGCAAAACACTATTAATATAGCGAAATATTAAATTATCGAATTAATGATTTAATACATTTTCACTGAATGTAGACCTAAAAAAACTTTTAGTAATTTATCGATGTTCTGCAGTTCGGTATTCGGTGGTGTTTGTTCTGAAGTTATCGTGCACAACCAACCATGGTGCAAGGTCTTGAGTAATAAGGATAAATTATATAATTAATTAATACGTAATTAAAATTCTGCAAAAATATAAATAAAACTAGTAAAGAGAGAAACTAGAGTTTGTTATAGTTCTGAAATTACGATTATACCCCTAACGATTAGTTAGTTAGTGGAGAATGGAGAAGACCATGGCCCGACGACCTAGACCGGGCCGACATAGTGGGTTTCAGGTTGGTTAAAATTGCAATAAAATGAAAGTTGGTGTCACATAATTAATTTTGGCAGAATTGGATTCCCCATACTATTAAATAATGCATCGTACACGTTGGAACCAATTAATAAAAGTCGCTTTTTTATTAGTATCACGATTATTCCAACTCCATGGATACCTTAATCTTAACTTATGTGTGTGTATTCCCAATAATAATAATAATAATAATATTAATAATTATAATTATAATTATTATTATTATTATTATTATTATTTATTTATTTAAAAAAAAAGGGAGAGAGAAAAGTAAATAAGAAGCGTCTACTAGGCCACCGACCAACCCCTAAAATTCGTTTAATAAGTAACAGATAATGATAGCAATAATCACTTTCTCCGTATTGATTTAAGAATTTAATTTGTCTCTCCCCACCACACAACTAATGACAACTACTTCCAATTATTTTATTTAATTTTCAATTATTAAGCCCCTTAAGCTAATTAGTGGTTTTGTTTGAAGAGAGAGAGAGAGACACTTCAGATTCATTGTTGTATGGGAGAATGGGTTGTATGAGAGGCTCGGGTAATCGAATACAGTAGGCGTTTGTGTATATTGAATGCACTATGCACATCACCTGATACCAAGGTTGTAAAAATCGGTAATCGGGTCCGAGTCGGTCAGGCACCGACTCACGATTAATCGATGCGGCGGTGATAAATCGGAAATAAATAGATTTTTAAAATTTAATATAATATATTTCTAAATATTATTTATAAATACTTCAAACATATGTAAAAAGATATTTAAACATAGTTATATCTCTATCATGTATATATCCTAATAACATAATAAAAGTTTAATAATCATAAGATCATAATACATAAATATCCTTATAAAATATAAATAAAAAAACATTTTTTTTGAATTTACATTTATTCTTGAACATTCGTGGCATACATCATTAGTTCTTTAACAATAACGATTAACATAAACAAAATAAGGCATAAACTCATATTTTCTTTTATTAAAATCCAACTTTTATATTGAATTATAAAATAAATAAATAAATAAATAAATAAATCGATTTTAACCGATTTTTCACTGATTTTTGACCGATTTTTTG